GGCTCTAAGCAATATGGCTGTTTGGGGCTTGACTCTGAAACCCAACTCTTCTTGTCCAGCACCTAGTTCCAAGAACAGGTCATTATCCGGCGAGATGTTGTGGCATTCAGATGTTTTGGGATCTGCTGCTCAGTCCTGTGATATTTTCTTTAGCTTATACTGTGGAAACAATCTGAGATAAGTTTGTATGAACCTAATAAGAGCCTGTCATCCATAGCTAATTCTGCTACTCATCTCTTTTTCAAAAGTGTTGCAGCAATGCAAGCTGCGCAAGAGCTTACCGAATATGTGACTGGGCCTCGTTAAATTTACTCTATGAGACTGTTTAGAGACTGGAAGTTCCTTTAAAAATAAAACATTTTAGCAAGTTCATTATTCAGCACTTACAGTCTCTAAATTGGCAGAGCAAATTTAGTAATTGCTTAATTGCTTCTCTCTGCTTGTTTTTGCTCCTAAAGGGATGGAGTGTTTTCTGGCCCAGATGCGAGTGCAGAAAGGAGAAATCCTAGAGAGGCTGTCAAGTGCCAGGAATTTTTCTAATATGGATGATGAGGAAAATTACTGTGCAGCAAACAAAGCCATAAGGCAGGTAAGCAAGGCAATCAAAGCCAAATAGCCTAGTGCCTGTAGATGTTGTCCTTGGGAAGGTACAGTCTGTAATCTCAGTCCTGAGAACTGCACAGTGTTTCAGCAGAGTGGAGCTTTTCAAAACAACAACTTTCTGGCATGATTTTTTTTTTTTTCCCTGGGCTGTGTCTTTTTGTAAAATTGAAGCCTGCTGAGTTCAGTTCCTCTTACTCCAAGTTGAAATGAAAAGTTTCTTAATCTTGAACTTTTGCTTATAGTACATTTATAATGTTTTTCATTTTTTAAGAAAAAGATCTGTCACCCTTTTGATGAGCCTTAATGCAAACCTTAATGCCAAATGTTGCATTTTTTTCCCAGGAACGTCTGCTCTGTACCATAGCAGGTTACTTCGTTGCCTTTTATTTCTTTCAAACTGGTTTCTGACCACATGTAGCCACCTTATCATTTTGTGTCTCTCTTAGTGTTCTTTTTGATAACATGTAGATAACACATAGCTGTTATCTTCCAGGTATTGCATCAGTTGAAAAGACTGGGTAAAGTCTGGCAAGATGTCCTGCCAGTGAACGTATACTGCAAGGCTATGGGGACTTTACTGAACACAGCTCTGACAGAGATCGTCACTAGGATTGCTGCCCTAGAGGTAACTGCGTGAGATGGACGTGCCAGGCATAGGGTGGTGTGAGCAGCTGGCATTTGTGACCTCTAGAAGTTCTTTCCAAGATCAGGTTTCAGGGGAACAGTTATCTTTCACAGAAATTATAATTGTGGTCCTGTCTATGAGGAATATTCGAGATACCAATAACTCACATCCAGTTGAGACCATATATATACTTACAGCGATTCCATGACTCTGTGGTCAAGGGGAGAGTGAGGGAAGTGGCCGTGATTTCATCTTAATTTGGATTTAGGTGTGTCATTCCTACTATAAACATTTCTATGAATCGATCTATTTGTCTTTGTTCAGAGCCCAGGAGTTAACTGTTGTCTCAAACTCCATCTATTCTGATACCTTTTCAATCTGTGCATCTCTAACGGACCTCTCCATCCTAATCTAGGCACCAGATGCCAAAATACCTATGGCATTTCGAACTGAAATTCTTACCTGTTTAAACCTCCATTTGACTCTCAATACTGTGTTTCAGTGATTGTCAGGTTACCTTGGGTCAAGTACAACTATCCTATTACATTTCTTACTGAAAATGTTTTCACAGCAAGTGATAGAAATACGTTAGTGCATCTGTTCTAGTTGTAGTCGACATCCAAAGAGCCTTCCCACTGTGCATTACGCCAGTAAGTCCTCTTTTCCCTTAACAACTAGTTTACAGGGCACTTGCTCAGGCTGTGCCTGCCAAAAAGCTTGGCTTTCATCATTGGGCTGGCAATGCCTGAGCAATTTCCTTGTAAACTGTTCAGACCTTCATCATAACACCTCTGCTTCGCAGTGAAATGCTTGCTTTTGCACTAAGATATGCTGTTCAGGAGCACAACCATGGTTCTGAGGCAATCACTGAGAACTTGCTGAAATAGCTATTCATGAAATAAGTTATATTAGCTTGAGAATGTTAAAGGCGGTCTAAACCACTGCTTTCATCTTCACACACACAGCCTCCTATTTTTCATTTCACTTACTGCTTGGCACTCCAAAAATACATCTAACTGCTCCCCTGTTAAAATTTGTTCAATTCTAGGATATCTCTGCAGAAGATGCAGATAGGTTGTACTCCCTCTGTAGAACCATGGTGGAGGAAGGACCCCAAGTTTTCACCCCACTACCTGAAGAAGACAAAAATAAGAAATACCAAGAGGAAGTTCCAGTCTACGTGCAGAAATGGATGACTTTCAAAGAGCTGATGATCATCTTGCAAGCCAACCTCCAAGAAATAGTAGATCAGTAAGTGTCTTCCTTTCCAGTTAGTTCTTCACCCCAGTAACAGGCAGCTGGGAAGTGGTCCGGCATTGCCAGGGCACGGCACTCAGGGGACTCTGTTCAGATGAAAAGCGATCACCATTAGCAAGGGTCCGATAGCTGCACCTGGGGCTGTTTCTTGGCTGTGTGTTTGTAGTCCATTTCAAGCTTGCTCACACATTTAGCTGCCTTCCACGAAGGATGAGGCAAGGGTAAAAAAACAAGCGCCATGGGAGAGCCAGCCACGGTGATTGTGCGTCCCCCTTGGCTTCTTGAAGTTCAGAAGTATTCCACAGTAAGCAGCTTGGCATTTTCCTTACTGCTTTTGATGTTAGCCGTGCCTTGCTGCTGCAATTGTTCCACGTGATTGGCCTCTGCTTTTTAGATGCGGTTTCTTGCTTCTTTTAACTTGCAAGGGGGATTTATCTGAATTGTACATGAGGATTTGCATAATTACTTCTCTTACTTCAGTTGGCATGAGCTGTCAGAAGCTAGACATTCCCTGTTCACAGCTGCATCGCACAAACATCTGAATGGCAAGAAAACACACTGTCCTCAGCTGGCTAAACGGGAACGGTACCAGCCGTGGAGAAAGCAGAGAGGGAAGGCAGTTCCTTTTCTGGGCCCTGCTCATTGCTGCTGTTGGAACTGTGTTAGACACCGAAAGTTCCCCACTCTCCTTCCAGCTGGTCATAAACCACTTTTTTTTTTAACTTTGTTGTTTGGGAGGTGAATGGGAGTTTTGGCAGACAGGCTTTAGGCTTATTTTGGAGGAGGAAAACATAGAATTTGTAAGGAGTGCAAAAATCACCTCACCACCTGTTGCTTTATATACCTAGCTAAACAATTCTGGACTCAAGTTGCATGCAGGTAATAGGCTGCTTAACTGGATTTGTTTTGCCTTTAGACTTACTACTGCGACAAGTGCTCGGAAGGCTTGTTTAACCAAACTGCACAGAAATGTCGTGTTAAAAGAAAGATCTTTCTTTCCCATGTAGGTGGGCGGATGGGAAGGGGCCTCTTGCAGCTGAATTCTCGGCAGCTGAAGTGAAGAGCCTGATCCGAGCCTTGTTCCAGAACACAGAAAGGAGAGCAGCAGCACTGGCCAAAATTAAGTAACTCTGTGTTTACTCCTACGTGTTGCATCTTCTGATAAAGCAAGAGCAAACGGAGTCTTTCAAATATTTTTTGAATTTGACCCTTCTTATTTATACTGGTATAAAAAAGCTTAGCATTAGATAAGTGCTTCCTGGAGGCTTGACTGAGGGAGGAGAAACATTTCCTAGCTCGTTGTAGGGCAACGAGGATGGCTCTGTGAGTCTGGGACCAGAAAACTGAAGGTGGGCAACACATGGACACTAATTGCTTATGCTCCATCTGCCAGGCAGACGGAGTTTGGGCTTGAAAATTCAGTTGCCTGTCCTGCTCCCCAGAGGCGTTCTGCCCAGGTCCAAGTTTTCCTTCATGAGCTGGTGGGTGTACAGTCCTGGTGAAGAGATGCTTTTTGTGATGTTTGCTGATTTCCATTCTTCCTGTTAAGCCCAGCATAGGGAAATAAATCAAGTCTTGTATCCAACATCTCCTTGTGAGAAGAGACACTGCTGTCAGACTGGCCTGCCGTACAAGGTGCTGTATAATGTCATCTCAAGCTTGCTTGCTTAAGGGTCTTGGAGAGGTATTTTTATTTCTTAATAGTGAATTTTATCTATGCAGTTTTACATCAGGGGGCACGTAGCCCCTTTGTGTCTTACCTCTTCTGTCCTTGCAGATTACATATGAAACCCACAGACTTTGATAGCTTTTGATAATCCTTTTAAGAATGCTGAAGTGCCAAACTTTGCTCTTTCCCACCTCACATTTCCCTGAAGAGCAAACCTCAAGAGAGTGCAAATTTGGAGGGGGGGGCAGGGGGGAGGAGATCCTGTTATAAGTGAACTGTTTATCAAGTCACAGGGTTCCCCAAGTGGCAAAATTCCTCATGGCTTTATTTCTCATGGAAAATGTCTTAAAACTGACTTACAGTTTTTCAGTCTCACTTTACCAACTGTAGAAGCCAGTTCAGCTCCTTCCTTTACCTTTGTTGTGCGTGAACTAGGTAGGTCTGGCATCTTTCGTCTTTCTGGTAGTAAATTTTCTGTCCTTTAAGAATAGTTAGGAATAATAAGAGATATGTAAATTAATATAAAAAGGGAATGAAGTGTGCACTCATAGCATTATCTTTTAAGTTACAAAAGGCTATGTTTGAGACTTTGAGAAACGTACATTTCTTTCAATTGAAAACGTCACCAAGAGCATTTGTTAAAATATAGCCCAGGGCCCAAGATGTACCAGTTGCTGCACGTATGGAACAGCGTATTTCCTACCCTGTAGTGCTTACAAAAGTTTCAGTCACAGAGCTTAGTGTTTTAATCTGTTATCTACTGTGTATCCTTTTCGTTTGCACTTCTCTCTGACTTCCGTTCACAGTTCCAAGCATTTTGTGCAGGACTGGAATCGCAGCTGGCTCTCACGTTGCACATAAGTCACTGCAGAACCGAACGGCCATTCTGCCTGCTGGGTCAGCCCAGCGCAGCCGTGGCAGGTGGTGAGGAGCCCCTTCTGTTTCTGGCTTTAACTGGCATAGGGAGGGGGCAAATGCAGTCAGAGTGGCAGTTAGACTGGGTCCAGCACATGGGAATGCAGCAAGGAAGGGAGATACTGAAGCAAAATCTGATGGCCGCTTAAAACTAGCTTTTTCTTTTCTTCCCCTCCAAGTAATTTATCTGAAGGCCGAGAGTGTTCCCGTAACACTTGCATCTCATGGGATCCCCTGCCCCTTTACACACAGCAATCCAGAAAACCGCGTATTTTGAAAAACACCACTTCTCCCATGTGGATCATTCACAGAAATGTAATGCTATTTTCTTTAATAAACTATTTATACTGAGCATGTTTTCTAGTGTTGTTTGAGGATTCTGTTAGGGTTATAGTAACACACAATGAGTCCTGGAGCATTCTCTACTCACTACATGGAAAGGACAAATTGTTGCTCTGTGAAGTCTCTCCTTGCCTTATTCCTAGTAGATCTAGTCCAGAAAAACCCAAAAACAAACAAACACCAAAGAAAGGAATCAGTACCGCAAAAGAGGTTGTCCCAGAGGTTCATGTGTCAAGGGTGAGAGTAGGGTAGTGAAGGAAAGAGTTAAAATAGGATGCTAGTATTGGGATTTGTCCGTGATGCATGGCTGTAGGTCAGGCTGAACATACGCCTTTGCTCCAGCTTACCTCCGTGATGTGATAAATCCATGGCAGAAGCTGAGCCACGTTGGTGTAAACCCCAGGGTGGCTGGGTTCAGCACAGCCCTGGCCCCAGCTGACGATGCCTACTAAACGCCACGTAAATTCATCATGGCAAACCAGGGGGCCCCCGCTGTCACCCTGCAAGACAGAGCAAGGGCTGATGAGGCAGCTCTGCCCCCCTGGCAGCTGGCATGCTGATCAGGCTGGCTTCTCCCACATGGCTTTGTTCCACGGGCCACACAAGAAGCTGAAATGCAGGTACAAGAAGTAACATGTGCCTCCCTGCAAGGTTTCCACGTTCCTTCTATAGCGATAGCGAAATCTCAGCGTGGCATTTGATGCACTTGATGCACGGGGGCACTGTGGGCTCCATGCTGCACTGCAAGATGCAGTGGGCCCAGCACTGCCCTACACAGACTGGTTACTGCAAGCTATTGCCACAAACCCCAGCGTGTGCTGGAGCGTGACAGGGACGTACGAGGTATCGGTCCTTCCCACACCTGCCCTGCACACCCGGCATGCACCGCTTGCTCCCTCCTGTTACCTGGCATGCGTCTGTTTTCCCTTGGAGGTAGCCGGCGCACAGCATCCTGGCAGTGAGCTCGCCTGCGTACATGCACGAACTATTGCACTTCTTGGTACCGATTAAGGGAACGAGTGCTTCCTTCAGCGTCTTGGTAACCTGCGCTGGAGAGGGAAAAAGGAAAGGCTAGAGGGGAACAAGATCTGCAGGGAACAAGAGGGGAAGAGCAGGGCACTAGCTGGACAAGTTGGAAGATGGGAAAGATGAGATTAGTTTAGGGGATTAAATGTGGCCAGGTCCGCAGGAGCTGTGGATGTTTGGTGCAGAGTTGCTGGAGCGGGATGAAGGCAGGAGGGGGCATTTGCAAGATCACATGCGGCATGGAAGGGGCTGGACAGGACCAGTGGGGAGCAAGGGGAAAGCCTCTGGTCAGTGCTGAGCGGCAGGGACGAGATGGGAGCTTACCTTGGTCTGGTCTGGTATAGCCCCAGCCAGAGACCCAACACGGCGTGCCCTGGAAGAGGTCCCGGTGAGAAGGTGGCAGACACACTGCACGGACGGCGTCTGGTAAGAAGGTGACAAGGGTAAGTGCCAGGCCAGCGGGGACAGCTTTGTGCCGTGCCGAGCACGAGCAGCCAGGGAAGGGCTGTGAAGCTGTCCGCCCGCAGAGCCACTCGGCCCGGGACGCCGTACCACTCGGCCTGGCACGCTGTAGTGAAAGGCTTTCGGGCCAGCTGCTCTGGAGACTTCAGCTCCCACAGCCACCTTCCCAGCAATTCACAGCTCTGGCATAGTTCGAAACACCGCGCTGCTGTGCACCCTGCCTCCCAGGTGCCAGGCTGGATTTCCCTGAAGAGCTGCTCTGACACGGGAGGTTCAGGAGGCTGGTTTTTGGCCATCCCTTAAATTGTGAGATAAGACAGACAGCTCCACAGATAAGAGGACATGACAGCATCTTACCTGAGAAATTCAGAGGGACTTGGAGCTTCATCAGAGCAATGTCGTAGTCAAGGCTACTGTCATTATAAAGCGGGTGGTAAATTATTTTCTTTACTGATACCCCATCCTCCTGCTTGATCGAGCCACGGGTGACAATGCCTGCGAAAACCAGCCAGGTGGAGGCTTGAAGCTGCCTGTAACTGAGCAGAAATACAGCGTGCCTCTTACTGTCGGGCAGCAAGCGCCAAGGCCTGGGATAAGAGCAGATACACAGCACCTCCGAGGCTGGGCACAGGAGAGCCCGGAGCTACCTGCGCACGCAGTGAGCCGCCGTGACGATCCATTCGCGTGCTCGCACGGAGCATC